CTTGCCTTGCATGCATGAGGCCCTCAGTTCGATTCCTCAGCACCACATAAGCAAAAAAAGCTGGAAGTGGGGCTGAGGCTCAAGTGGTAGAGCGCTAGTCTCCAGCTGGAGAGCTGAGGGACAGCGCCCAAGCCCAGAGTTCAGGCCCCACAACTGACAAAAAAAAAGAAAAGAAAAGAAAAGTTTTAGCTTAAAGTAGCATTTATCTTCTACATGAATATATGCTAAAGAAAGATAATTTATAGGGAAAATATGAAGACATAGAGAATTATACTAGAATATTTTTTTCTTTTTAGGGAGGGAGGGGCCGTCGTGGGGCCTGAACTCTGGGCCTGGGCGCTGTCCCTCAGCTCTTCAGCTCAAGGCTAGCGCTCTACTACTTGAGCCACAGCGCCACTTCCGGCTTTTTTTTTCCTGCTTATGTGGTGCTGAGGAGTCGAACCCAGGGCCTCATGCATGCAAGGCAAGCGCTCTACCTGTGAGCCACCTTCCCAGCCCTCTAGAATATTTTTCTATGCCATTAAATGATCTCCATAAAAAGCCATTGGCAGTTGGCACTCTAGCATTTAAAACAAATCATTTGTGCTTTTTTAGGAATATCCATAGGAGATGATCAGGAAAAAAAATACTTTCAAAAGAAAGAGGATTTTCTCTAGGAATAGATTATATAACTTAGGACTTCTCTTTAGGATGTGAATGGGAGACAACAACTCCTATCTTATTACAGTGACCAGAAGCAAGTTACTTATGGGTGAAGTAGGAAAAAGGAATCAATTATATAACTTTCTCCTCACATAGACATAAGATTGTGAGCTGGGATTGCCTTTGAGGATGGATTGTTTTCTGCTTTGTTTTAGAGTGGTTACCAATATTTTCTAATCATATACAAAGGTAAATATTAAACAAGAAGGAATTTTTCCTTGAAGAGCCATAAATTATATCAACAAGCCAGGCACAAGAAGACAAAGATCATGCTTTCTCTCCCATGGAAGCTAAAAATGCTTTCTACAAGAGTAGAGAGTAAGCATGGCAGGAGGAAGAGAGAACAGAACCCCAAATATTGTTAGACAGAAAAAGTAAGTTCTAGTCTTCTCAAGGTGGTTGCACTGTATAACAATTTATTATGTATCTCAAAATAACTAGAGAAGAGTTCAAAAGATCTCAACACAAATAAGTACTAATTAGCCTAATTTGATCATTACATATTTTCTACCTGTATCAAATTATCACACCATTTCCCATAAATATGCAGAATCATATGTGCCACTTACGAACTATTTTTGCAATATGATCCATGGATCAGCAGCACTAATAGCACTAGGGAATTGGAATGCAGAAATCAAGACCCAACCAGACCCATTGAATAAGTGACAGAATCTGAGGCAGGCATGTGCACATTGATGCTTGAGAAACACTGGTCTGGAGGATTAGAAGTGATCCAGAAGGTTTGAGAAAGTAGATAACTTACCCCTAAAGCTGAGCTCACACTGTCTATGGACTGCCAATAGACAATAAAAGCAACTCCAGTCTGTACACTCCCTGTGGCTGTGGCACCTAACCTATGACATCACCTAAGTCATTACTCTCATACATGCTTGTATGCTCTATATAGCAACCAAGAAGGAAGGAAGGAAGGAAAGAAGGAAGGAAGGAAGGAAGGAAGAGAAGAAAAAGGAAAGAAGGAAAGAAGGAGGGAGGGAGAGAGAACGAAAGGGAGGGAGGGAGGGAGGATGAAAGAGGAAATAAAAGAAAAAGGGAAAGTGAGAAAAATGTATTTTGTTTATTTTCTTTCATTTTGACCATACTTCAAAAAGGCTTTTATTTACATAGCCTGTAATTTGAGTCATCCAACTGCTATTCCAGACCCACAACTTCCCTCCTACTGCCTTCAAAACTAAAAAAATATAGAACGTTGAACAAGCTATGTGGCACACATAAAGGTATGGAATTTTACAAAGACATCTGAGCAATAATAGAACCTGAATTGAGGTGATTCTATTTTAGGGAGCAGAGGTAGAAACAAGATAGCAAGTACATTAACCAAGAACTGAATATTTGACTCAACGTACCCAGAAAACATAAGAGCAGACCACCTCAAACACACATGGGAACAATGTTGCTTTTTTTTAAAAAAAAAGAAAGTAAGAAAGAAAAGGAAAGAAAAAAGGAAAGCTCAGGTTATTAGCCTATCATCACACAGGGTGCTTTCTCTGATATCTACTGTCAGAGAACAGATTCATAAAAAGAGAGCACACAAGGCATCCTGACCATGGAAGGTATAAGAAAGGACTGTGGGAGACAGCAGATGAGGAAAAATAATACTAAATTTATTATCAGAATAAATGACGTCTTTTTTTGGGGCCAGGGGTATTTGGTCAGTTGATTGTTGCATCCATAATGAACCAAGGAAAACAATACAGACTTCATCTAAGCTAAGGAAGCATGGGTTGAAAATTAAGTACAATTTCCTCTAGAGAGTATAACACTTGGGGCCAACATTAAGGATTGCACACTTGTGGTAATTGATAGATACTGTGGACCTTCTCCTCAAACAACTGTGCCCCTGGGAAACCTGGATAAGTTGCATAATGATCAAAACAATAGCTAATTCATAGTAGCATGTAAAAGCAGAGGAAGAAAGAACTTTTTCCAGGACATTTATGGCATTTAGTCAAGCTCCGTATGTTGTATTCTCTCTCTAGTGTGTTACTTCTTGTGTCAAAGTCACTCTGAAACAGGAGTAGCAGAGAAGAGCTAAGTCAGTCAGAATCTTTTTATTGAGGATGACTATCACAAGGGAGTCTGTAAGGTAAGGAATAGACTTTTCAGATTAAACAGGGTGTCTCTCTTGGGAAAGCCTGACAAGTAATCAGACATTCCGAGTTCTAAGAGTTTGAGATTTCACATTTTAGGAAATGAAGGGCCTTCCATCTTTGTACTATGATTCTAAAATACAACACCTTCTGTAAGCATGTCTCCAAAAGTATATGGTGGCACTGCTGAAAAATGTTTCTGTTCACCTTGAAATACCTTTCCAAATGCAAAAGCTCTATTATTGGATATATGAAAATATAGCCCTTGGTGGAAAAAAGAATGAGTGGAGCAGCCAAGATAGTGAAACTCTATAAAAATTAATAAGCTCAGCATAACATTTCCGCATTGCTTCTGAGACATGTCTGTAAATCTCCCTGAAGCAGCATTGTTTTGAAATTCCCCAGCTTCAGAAGATTGTATTGTACACGGGAAGACAGCAGCAGTGGTGGCACTGATATCTGGTCTGAGTTTCTAGTGAGAAGCAGCTAGAATTGGCAATAGTACACTTTCTTAAGTGGCTGAGCTGAATCATTCTTTATAGACAGATAAGAGAGTTTAAAGAAGCTCCTGGTTCAGAGACCTAAGTGGTCTTTTTTGTTATGCATATCTTACTAGTCTAAGGACTGATGGTAAATAACCAAATTTTTTTCTTTTCCAAAATACATTTCACTAAATATTTCCATGAATTTTTTCTGATTAGCACAGAGATGGGATGAATTTTAGAGGCAAATGGAGTTGTGCTGAAGTTTATACAATTAGTAGCAGTAAGTAAACGTTTTAACATAATGCTATTAATCCTTATTCATAAGGAACAGTAGATGTGGAGTCTTCCACAAAACTTCTTCTAGAAAATATCTGTTTGTGAGTATCTTTATTTTGAGCAATCCAACTAAAGATGAGGAAGGAGGAAACTTCGCTCTCCTTTTTTACAAGACGCAAAATAAATGGACAAAGGGAAATTCTTAAGTGAAGCTTTTTTGTACTCGGGCTTAAACTTTCTTGTCACATGCATGTGACTTGTCATTATTTCCATCAAAATTAAATTGACTTTAATTAAAATGCTGATGTTTTATTAAAAATTTTACTAAACAAAAACAATATTTGCTTGGTAAAATCAATTAAGCCAGCACACAAAAATGCATTTTTATTTATGATAGGCTTAAGCACTTATTTTCTTATATTTGTTGACTCTAATAAAACAAATGATCCTGGCTAAATCTAATAGGTGCTATGACTTATGTTTTGACCATAAGGTCTAAATTAATCAGATATTTGAAAGATGTTCCAACTTTCCTTCAGTGAAGATAGAAAATGATAACACTGTGAAAGTAGAGCGAGGCAAACCAGTTATATAAAATGCCTTTTCAATTTTTGCACTCTATTGCCCTTTACTATTATAGGAAAACGGTGTTATCCCTGATTACAGAGAAAGCATACCAAAATCTCGCCTTCCAAATCCAAGCCAATCCTTGACTAGTGATAAACAAAGCCAGGCCATCTGCTCAGAATATCATTACTACTTTGGTCATTTCAGAAAGGGATATATCTGTTCTGCTTCCAAGAGAGGCTTAAGATGGGAAATTTAAAATTAAGTAGTCAGGAAGAGATATTTGAACACATACAATCTCCCAATGACAGCTTCATTTTTTTGGTTCTTAGTACCATAATTTTAATTTTCATTCTGGCCCCATCGACTTAACCTTTAGGGTCCCTGTTTTACAAACCTTTCTTTCAGGAAAAAAACTTAATTCCAGAGTTTCAGCGGTAAAAGCTTAGAAAGGAAAGCAGACCTGTAGGAGAATATGAGTCATCAATCACCCCCACCCTGCTTCCCGGTGATTCTCCATTGGAAAACCAGAAACAGAGGTTGAGCTCACATTTCCGTCTTTTTGGAATCCTGCGACAGCTCAACCCATGTTAATTTCCTGAACTAAACAGTCCCTAATCTGCTGAAAGACAGCTGGCTAACTGCTGGTGTCTGGCAGGTCCCCATCTGTCTCCGTGGCTGGGGTCTCTCCCTCCTGCCTTTACTTTCCCTTTCTTTCAAGCAGGATTCTCTTTGTTTTCAGGGGTGTCAGTCACCCAACTTTCCTTCCTACGCCCATAAACTTGAGCTCCCTCCTTCTACCCTGCAGACCTTTGGCTTTGTCTAAGTGACAAGACACAGTTGTGTTGACTGTAGTTACGGCGCTGATGATGGTGGAGATGATGACGGCGATGGTGGAGATGGGGGTGCCGATGTTAGGATAAGGGAACGCAGACTGAGGGGGCGCCCGGGAGGAGCAAGGACCGCGGAGGCGGTGGAGAGTGGGGTGCGGGAAAGGATGGAGTGCAGAGGGATTGCAGATGGGAGCTGTCCACGCACCCGAGTGCTGAAACGCCGCAGCCATGGCATCACAAGAGCTAGAGGGGGAGAGGCGGGGAGGCGCTGCAAATACAGAAGGGAGAAAAAAGGCAACAAATACCTTCACACAGCCGCCCAGGCTTGCTTTGGGATTGTGTTTCTGCAGGTGTCCTCGTGGCTGAACTGGGTGGGTGAGATTCCCCTATTCTGGCAGGTTCGAGCTCAGATTTCTCTAGAAAGCTGTGAATGAGAGCTTGGGCTGCACGGGGCTGTGATTTTGGTAGGAGGCGTGTGTCTGAGACTCTGTCCTTCTATACCCAGCCTGGCTTTCCCCTGGGTCCTAAATTCCTCCTCACAGTTCCCCTCTCTCTCAATAATACCAAGAATTTCTGTACAATTGTAACATCTGGAACAAACGTTAAAAAGTACCAAATGTTAAAAAGAGAATCTTTTATACAGACGAACACAAGCTTTGTATGTATGTGCATTTAAGTACAAATCTGACAGGTGGGAACATATGGCAGATCTATGGAAAAAGTATGCATTATTTTACTAACAAATGGTATTGAGAAAATGAACTACTTGAAAAGCAAGCATTAAAGCCCCTGCTTACCAACATAAATTAAATAGATGAAGTAGCTCAATAAAAAGTAATAAATTTATTTAATAATGAAAGAATATATAGTAAGTATTGTATTGATCTCTCACTGTGAAAAAGTTAAAGACAAAAAATAGAAAAAAAGTACAAGTGTCAATAGATTTGAGTGCATAAGAATTCTTCTGAATGTCAATGAAAAAAACATAAGTATAAATTATAACTTGGAAAATTTTCAACAGATGAATTTCATACAAAAGTATCTTATGAATCTAAAGAAAAACTCTATAGTCTCATGGCAAATGTCAGTGAACTTACAAGAGAAAAATTGGAAGGTCCAGTAAACACATTTCAAAAGTCTATCTCAGAAATACGTAGTTTAATAGAATAAAATAAATAGGAACAAAAAGAAATTAAAATAGCACTGAGGTTCAGTTTTGACTTAAATGCACATAATGTTTCATATATTGTTGAGAAAATAATGTGGATCTGCAACATTTCATTACATCTATTTTACAACCTACATAAAGTGTAATAAATATGTATGACATTTAGATCCAAGGGATCCACTTATACTGGGAGCATATTCACACATACATATTAATTATATTTATGATCAGAGAATTTGTCTAAAATAATAATAGCATTAATTTTATATATGATACTTGTAGCTATTAAAAACATATTTGAGACTAGTGACAAAGAGAAATGCTTGTAATATAAAAAGGGGAGCAAAGAAAGATACCAAATACAGCATCCAGTACTGTGCTTTCCCATTCCCTGCCTAGCAAGTTAATAGGAACATAGCATAATACAATGAGATTATAGATCATTTTTTGCCAATAACATTTTTATTTGAAGTTTCCACACTTACTTTTTTGAAAGAAAACATATATTTTGAGGGGATCTTCCTATCGTATATTTTACAGAGACTTTAAAGTTCTCAAATTTCTCCAACTCTAACACAGTATTGTATATCTACTTATTTGTTTACTATCTCTTCAATAGAATCACAGCTCCATTTGCTATCCAATGTCTGTTTTGTTTATTGCTGGTCCAAGTACTTACAAGTGTACATCCAGCATAATAGTAATTCAATATTTACCAAATAAAATAATAAATGAATCAATAAGTGCCACAATCCATTTTATGAAGCTATGAAAATTTCATACAGACATTTATCTTAAAAGACATAAAACACCAAAATGACCTGTGGTTGATGCTGAATTTTGATTACAATTTCAATTTAAAGAGATACTCTCAGGAGTACAGTTAATTAGGAACATAATTTGGAAAGTAAATTTGATAAAAGAAAAATATTTTCTCCTATTGATTTTCTAATACTCTTTATTACTACATGTTAATTATATAGAATAATTGGATTTTGTTGTAACACTTTCATATATGCAGATGGCCTACTCTGATCATATTTACCCTGTTCATCTTCTTTTCATTCTCTAGTAGTTTGCTTTTTACTCTCCTTTGTCATTTTTTAATCCATATTAAAAGTACATATCAAACTTGTCCTTTTCAGTCTAGCGTATTAACATACAATGACAATACTTATCCCCATCCCATTTTCTTGCAAATGACATTGTTTTATTCTTGTTGATAACTGAATAATATCTCAGTGTGTATGTGTGTGTGTGTGTGTGTGTGTGTGTGTGTGTGTGTGTGTGTGTGTGTAGTGTGAGAGAGAAAAATAGAGAGAGGTTTTATCTGTTCATCGACTGGTGACTATTTGGACTGATTCCATAATTTGGTTATTGAGAATGATACTGCTAAAAACATGGATGTACATGTACATTATTTATGACTAACATTATTTTGATATATTCACCAATGCCACCTAATCATATGATAGTTCTATTTTTTCAAACTGACTTTCCACAGTAGCACAACTTACATTTCCCAAAGTAATGTAAAAGTGTCATTTTTCTTTTCATCCTTGCCTGTACTATAATTTTTTTTTGTATTTTGATAATAGCCCTTGTAACTTTAAGTCTATTTGTTCTTGATCTTGGCCCTTTTAAAAGTTTTTCAGGGGGCTGGGGAGGTGGCTCAGTGTTAGAGTGTTTGCCTTGTATGCATGAGGCCCTAGATTCAATTCCTCAGCACCACATAAGCAGAAAAAGCCAGAAGTGTAGCACTGTGCTCTAGTGGTAGAGCACTAGCCTTGAGCTGAAGAGCTGAAGGACAGTACCCAGGCCCAGAGTTCAAGCCCCATGACTGACAAAAATAAAAAATTTTTGCAGGAAAAAAATTTGGTAAAATAGGTTTGTAATTCCACCTTTCAGGAGGGTGAAACAGCCTGGACAACATAGCAAGGCTATCCAAAACAAAACAGTGTCAAACAAAGGTATTTTTTATGCTTTCATTTCTTTCTTCTGAAATAAGGCTTTTGTAAGAGGATTTCTTTATTCTTCTTTCACCTTGACATTGTGCTGATGTTTTTGCACACTCTGTTCATACTCTTGACCTTGCACTTGATACATCCCTGTTGTTTCTCTGTCTCATTCAGAGACCCTATTAATGTTGAATATGCTGTGGTCCCTTATGTGGACGTGAAGAAGGTGATTTCTGCATTAGCCTAGGGACAGGTTAAGGTTCTTTTCACATGGGGATAGACAGGGTCCAAGTAGAACAGGTTAATATCCAGAGAAATCCTAATATTTATGAAAAAGGCATGAAAACGATATTTCAAAGGCAACAGATTTCTGAACACCTTCCTAGCATGGATGCTTAAGGGCTAGAAAAATATATAAGGAATAAAGTTAAATTGCAAAAGTATTGTAGTTGTTCTCCCTGTAATTCTGTGATACACATCCCCATATAATGCAAGAGATTATCACTAATATTTCTATTATTTAATGTAAAGGCCAATTTGAAGTTTTAGAGATTAGGTTTATCTTAGGTAATGCTGAATGAACCAATTAACTCTGCAGTCTCAGTGGAATCCTATAACAATGGCTTCTTTCTTCATCACACTGGAGGTAGTGGGAGTGGGGGGGTGATGAGAAAAGGTGGTCTCTTCTGCACTTGGTCACTTAGAGACCATGTAAGCAATTATCACAGCAAGGAAGGATAATCTGTTAAAATGCAGAACTTGTACCTTCTCTTGTAGTCCACAGCTACAGCATATCCTGTATACTCCTTGTCTGCATAGAGGGAGTCTGGGAAGTTAATGTTTCTACAACAATCTATTCTAATAGTTTCCAAAAATATCTTAGCTTATTTCTTACCACACGGGCACACTCAACCCAGCTCTGAAAATTGCTGCTGTTCTTACCTCTTTCTCTAACACTCCCAATACATAACAGTAAAGGGATAGGAGGTCTTCATCAAGCACTCCTCCTCAGGAAGGAAAATAGAGAAGATACTTAGCTGTCACTGAGCCCACAGTTGTAAGATCACATTGGTATGACTTGCTGTGCTGATTATGGAATTTCTTTATCTTGCTTTACTCTGCTTTCTGGGAAAAACTTCCTATCCAATTCCTTTGCTCTCCAGGGCCCCTGTCATCTCAGTCTGGGGGGTTTCTTGTTTTTTTTTTTTTTAATGATAGTCCTTGACCACATATAGAATGTCAATTATAAAATATGACCTCAATTTGCTTTCAGTTTCCAATCTTATTTGAAATTTGTTTACTTAGATCATAGTGAACACACAGTTCTTTGAATGACAGGCTCAAGAAATTGCACAGTTGAACACGTGTCGTTTCTAACATTTATTTGCTCAAAAGACTAGTGGGTCAGGAAGCTAAAAGGTAGGAAAGTAGTTTACAAACTGAATCCATAAATTGATCAGTTTTTGTTTGGACCAAGACCATATGTCTTCTGATCACAGACATTTCAATGTGAGTTGTGAGCTGAAGTTATAGATAGCTCCATAAGAAGCATGATGCTCTAGAAGGTCAGTGCTTCTACCAGTTATAGTATGGATAAGAGTAGTATACCTTACATTCTTATTGGTTCAAAGTTAGAATATTCAGACTTCCATCTGTAACCTGAATGCTCCTAGATTGTCACCTTCTAATCTGTTCCAGGCAAAACGTTCACGTGCTTATCCATTACTTCTTACACCAAAATCTAGTTTCCTTTGGGATAATATTAAAAAGTTTAAGATAAAATTAATTAAGGCAAGTGTCAAATAGGATGGTGCATTATTTGCCTATTTTGAAGCATATAAAAACATACATACTTTGATATCCTTAGGAGAAGCAGTGGTCTTAGCCTACTCACTTCTTGTGGGAGATGGGAGCTCCAAGATTTATATTAATTCCCTAAGGCTCCATGGCCACTTTTACTCCAAGCTCATTGTTTCCTTGGAAATACATCTTGTTGGAGGCCTTAGAGGATCATTTTGAGTCTGACTCAAGCAGTTTTCATATTCCAATAACCACATGAGAAATCTTCAAAGAAATATTTCAAATGTGGCAGATTTATTTGCTTTTTCAACTCATACCTCTCTCTGTTTTCAATATGTCTCTTCAATCTCTCTGGTACATGTTTATGGGATTCATAATGGCATAATCACTTATGTGTATAAGGTACTTTGATCATATGCACCTCTCATTCTTTTCTCTTTTTTTTTGCTTTACAAAGTTGTCATTTTTATTTTATTTTATTTTATTTTATTTTATTTTGTGTGTGTGTGTGTGTGTGTGTGTGTGAAAATACCTTACAGAGGAATTACAATT